TAGGGCAAGGCTAACTGAGGGACACCAGCAATAATGAAAGCATGTGTCATAAAATAACCTGAATCCAAGTGATGATTGGCTTGTGAGGTAAAGTCAAGGTCCTGCTAGAGTAGCCACCCAGAAAGCCAACTCCCAGCTTACCTGGAGCCTGCTCCTTTGAGTGAGTCCCTGAAGTGTGTCTCCAAGAAGAGTCTCCGAAGCCAGACTCCTACCAGATAAATGCTTAGTAATGTGAGCCTGGCCTCTTTAAGATCTCACCCACCAAAGCCTCCTCCCTGGAGGTTGGACACGGGTGGGTAGGGTATGGGTAGGAGGAAGTTCAAAAGTCTGGTTGGTGGGATCTCCTCTTATTCCTGCAGGCTAGGGAGGACTAACCTTGTTAATAAACATAATCTAATTTGTTCCTTGGTAATCCTCCCTTGAATTTCTCAACACCCTTTAATTCCATTTTGCAGAAGAAGAAACTGAAAAGTCAAATCTTGTCCTAACTGGTTTGGCTCAGTGGATAGAGCATTGGCCTTCAGACTGAAGTGTTCCCAGGTTCGATTCCAGTCAAGGGCGCATGCCTGGGTTGGGGGTTCTGGGTTGGGGGCTCAATCCCCCATAGGGTGTGTGCAGAAAGGAGCTGATCAATGATTCTCTCTCATTGATATTTCTATCTCCCTCTCTGAAATCAATAAAAATATACTTAAATAATAATACTAATAAAAGGAAAATCTTTGCTTCCTTTCCAAGTTGGGCCTGGCATAGTGGCTCCCGTAAAGAAGGGTGGAGAGAAGAAGGGCCTTTCTGCCATCGAAGAGGTAGTTACTAGAGAACACACCATCAACATCACAAGCACATCTATGGAGTGGGTTTCAAGAAGCTTGCTGCTCTGGCACTCAAAGAGATCCAGAAACTTGCCCTGAAGGAGATGGGAACTCCAGATGTATGACTTGATGCCAGGGGCAAGCTGTCAAGATCAAAGGAATAAGGAATGTCCCATACCGTAGCCGGGTGCAGTGGTCCAGAAAATGTAATGAGGATGAAGATTCCTCAAACAAGCACTATGCGTTGGCTACCTACGTACACCACTTTAAAATATCTACCAATTGTTAATGTGGGTGAGAACTAACTGCTGACTCTCAAATAAACATATAAAACTGCAAATAAAAGTAAAATCTTTATAAAGAAAGGTAGGGGTACAGTACTTACTGTTTCTTGAAAGAAAACTGGCCCTAGCCGGTTTGGATAGAGCATTGGCCTGTGGACTGAAGGCTCCCGGGTTCAATTCCAGTCAAGGGCACATACCTTGGTTGCAGGCTCCTCCCGGCCCAGGATCTGGCCAGGGCAGGAGGTAACCAGTCAACGTGTTTCTCAATATTTCTTTGTCTCCCTCTCTCTTCCACTATATCTAAAAATCAATGGAAAAATATCCTCGAGTGAGGATTAAAAAAACAAAGAAAGAAATCTGACAAATATAATCTCCTTTGGCTGTAAAGTGAAGCGGCAATGAATGCTTAAAGCAATCCATGAAATATATCTATGCATGTGGGTGTGGAAAACCCCCCAAAACCTCTAGATATATTTTTTTGTAAAAAGCAAATTGTAGGGAGCATTTGAGATCTTGCTTCCCAGCAATTGTTATCAGTTTGGGGTCAAATAAACAATTTTTTTTTAAAAAGGAAAGTGTAGAACACAGCACATAGTAGTCTCATATTGTATTATTAATTAATTAAAATATAATGAGTGTTCATGCTTGTGTGCTGTGTATGATTAGGATGTTTTGGGATGGATACAGAAGACACTTACGGATGTTCAGGCAGGGAAAGAAGGCGCTGAGCTGGGAACGCGCCGGGAGAGGGCGAGGGCGAGGGCACAGGGGCGCCC